TGATTTCTCACTTTCTGTCTCTCTGTCTCTGGCTTTCTGGCAAGTGCAAGCGCCTTATAGCAAAAACCTCTCAAAAACAAAACAAAACAAAAATATATACATATCCTCTCGGCTTGGGCTGCAGATCTGTGCAATCTTTCTGGTTCTCGTGTTTTAACTGAGCTTTTTGTTTTGTTTTTAGGTGTTTGCTATAGGGTGCGTGCACTTGGCAGAGAGAGACAGTGAGAGGGAAAGTGAGAAATCACCCCTTACCCCGGGGAAGATGGCCTTCCTGCAGTCCCTTCCCCTCCTGGGATTTTGGGCACGCACACACGCACCTGGCGTGAGTTTCAAGCTGCCAGGGCTGAACTCAAACCGCAGCCAGCCATGTGGGAGTCCCGTGCCTTAACCACCGCGCCGCCTGCTGGCCCTGGAATTTTGCTTTTGGGGGGGGGGCGTGAAGCAAGAAGAGTTCCAGTCTCGCTTTGGGGGTTGCCTGACAAAGGTCACACCTCCTTGGCACCTCCTTACCGCTATGCCTTGCCTTTGCGACCCAGGCTTGGCACCAGCTGTGAAGGGGTCACGTGCGTCAGGCGAGGATTCTCCTTCAGCCTTGGTGGAGCGGGATTGGGGTGCGGCTTGTGTGGAGTAAACCCTTCCCCACCCACCCCCAGTCCAACAGATGTGCCCACTGAGGCACCGGGTCCGACTGCGTCTCGTTCTACAGCAAGTGGGAAAGGGGCCCCACGGCAGGAAGCACCATGGAGCCCCTCTGCTGTGGGCAGGTGGCAACAGCCCACCCGCCCCGTCCAAGCCGAGTCCCACAAGCTCTTGCCCTCTCCCCAAAGGCTCCAAACACGTGTCTACTTGTCCCATGAGGGAGTCAAAGGCAGGGAAAGGGGACAGAAGCTGTACTTCGTCGCTCCCTGAAGGTGGGGTCTCCTTTTCTTTTTCTTTTTTAAAGAGAGAGAGAGACTTTCGCTATAAGGCACAGAGAGATAGAAAGTGGGAAATCCCCCCCCCCCCCGGAGGGATGGCCATGCCACACCCCTCTCCTCCATTCTCCTCTCAGGATTTTGGGCACGCACGCACACATGCCCAGTGCGAGTTTCAAGCCACTGGGTCCAGGACTTGAGTGGGAGTCCAGCGGTATAACCACCACGACATCCATTAGTCCTGGGATGTCCTCTTTAGCAATCCTAGACAAGACCCCAGGATGGCGTTGTGTTTATTACAACTCTCTCCTTACTGAGAACTCTGGTTTAGGGATAGTCCCAGTTCTGGTCCCTGAGAGCAAGTCAACACGCCTTCTAAATCTCAATGCTTCAACATGGCGGCCAGCAGGTGGCATGGTGGTTAAGGGTGCTGGACTCCCACATAACCGACTGCGGTTGGAGTCCCAGACCTGGCGGCTTGCTTTCTCACTTTCCCTCTCTCTCTCTCTGTCTCTCTCTGGTCAAATTAAAATAAGTAAATAAATAATGTTAAATAAAATGCCTTTTAACAAACTTCTCCAACATGGAATAGGTGAAAGGCTACTCTTGTGTGTTCCGAGATAAACACGGTGGCAGTGGCTTTGTAAACTCTCAGGGCTGTGTCCAAATGGGAAGCTACTCCCAGGACGTGGCAGAGCAGCTCACCCTGTGGGCCTCTGATGGTTCCCACGGGCAGAGTCAGCAGACGCCCCACCTGAGGCCTCAGCGCCTGCGCCCTACACGGCCGGGCTTCTCCCAGCGTCTGACGCCCCCGACCTGCAACACCCCCTCACCTACAAGCATCGGGGCTCCTGGGAACTGAGAAAACACTCTCTATTTCACTGCTCCCAGCTCCTTCTGCTATCCAGCTGTTGGCCCAGAGGCTTATGCTCAATTTCCATATCACGGGCTCGCTTCTCGTACTCTGCAGTCTGATGCCAGGAACCCAGCACCCTGGAAACACTTGAACCATGACATGCGCAGTGTTTTTTTTTTTTTTTTTGCTATAGGGCACGTGCGCTCACCAGACACACAGAGACAGACAGAA